GCTCTCGCTGGGGCAAAAACTGAGGAAAAACCCCTGCCCTATGGATAGAACCCTTCCGACCTGCCGGGAACGGTTTAAAACAAAAAATAATAACTTTAACAATAAAACATAAATAAGAATCCCAAAGATTTCGTGACTGATAGGCAATAATTAAAATCGTACTTAACGTAGCCATTCTTGGCGTTCGCGCTCGCCCAAAGGCCATGCCGCTTGTAAAATCTACCAGCGACACCAGCATTAGCTGCAGAAGTGACCCCTCCATCCCTAAGGCTATAAACACTAATCCTCGAACAGTCTGGTAAAATTTCTAAAGGCGTCCTTGATGAGTTCTCTAGCTCTGGTATAGCTGATATCTTTCCTTTGAACGAGTAATAACAAGGGCCCTGTACAGCGGTAAATCCTCTGAAAGTCTGATTTGAGCCGCGAGATGTAGACCTCCAAGGCCTTGACGGGGCAAGTTGGCAAGTCTACGATTCGCGGCCCGTCTCGAACATGGTCACACTTCGAGGATTCTAGGTAAAAAGGACACATAAGATGGCGAAAACGTAACATCGCAGGCTTTATATGATATAACTCGCTAAAGCAAAAAAAAAACCTCTGCCTGATCAATAAAGCACAAGGCAACAGATCTAGGATCCGAAAGGGAAGAAGACTTATCTGTTATCTTCGATTCCACGAGCGCTTTTGGCATCTGAAAATTTACAGGGTCTTTTTTGACCTTTGGCCTGCCCAAAATCCTTTGAGACGCACAGGCCATTGAAGCAACCATGGGGTGAGTGGAGATTTTTGAAAAGCCAGCCAACTCTAACGCCCAATCGATGCTGTAGACCACATTAATAACTGGAGAAGGAGAATAAGCTTCATTAAACAAGAGTGCAAGAACACGGCGACCTGGAACCGACGGATTACCTGGAAAATGTTAGACGTGATTGAATGAAGTCCAAAGTTTCCATCCTTTAAAACCTTAATCGATCAATTATCAAAGAATAAATAACTCAACACAAATAAGACTAATCACCTGATAGCCAATCAAATTATAAACAAATAACAAAAATGAGAAACTATAATAAACAACCTAAAAAGACAACTATGACGGAAAAGAACACGTAACTCGAAGGATAAAGGCACCGTAAAACCATAATCTAGCGCACAAATTGTCATAAGCCTTGAAAAGGAAACAAATAAACTCTAAATCCCGAATCTGGAGAGTGTAAAATAAATCAGGCGAACTGATCGACATTTATAAGCATATTAAATCCTGGACACAAAAGGTCCCTATAAACAACAGACATATTATAATGAAACTAAACAAATCCATAATGCTGGGCACAGATGGTCCCATACACTTGGGCACAGATGGTCGCATGCACTTGGGCGCAGATGGTTCCATACACTTGCCATTCTGACACTCCTATGCCGAAAAACGATACTCTAATTTTTCTCGCAAATAAAAGGCTTCCGGTGGGAACAATTTACATCACGTTTCTTATCTATGTAAAAGCTATCTATGGACAAAAAATGAAAGAAATCGATTTTTCAACTCTTGCCACGAAATCAGTATTTTGCTCGATTTTTCCTGACCGTTGCTCTTAAGCAGGGAACTTAGAGTGCAAATAAGCGTTCAAATTGTTTTTGTTTTCAATCTATATTAATGACTAGTAAACCATAGTTGTGCTCAAAATGTAATCTCACACTGTGTTTTAAACTGATGTTATGAATAAACAAAGACAAAACAACAGTCAGAGGAATTATTGCTCGCAAATTCTATTCAAAGACCCATAATTTTATCCTTTCTAAGAGCAATTCGCGTCATACTAACTGGATCGTGGATCCTTTCACTCAGATTTACATTGTAGCTCTTAAAGCTAATATCTCCTATGATTAATTAATCATTATCCTAAAAAATTAAAGTAAGATAAATAAATAAAATAAAAAATGAAATAAAATAAATGAAAGGAAATATAGCGCTATACAAAAAGAATATTACTTGTCTTATTATATTTGTTCAAACGAAAGTTTTCGCACTTTGAATTTGAACTCCCTAAAGTAATGTCGTAAATCTCAGGTCCTTAGGAAGTCTATTGCACAGTGTTGTAGATACGTACCTAAATGAATGTAAACCGTGAGTTGTTGTCTTAACGCAGGGAACTAGTAAGTTTGTTTGTTCCCCGCAGATCGTGTTTCGTAGCTCTTGCTCAGGATACAATTCACCTAGATATCTTGGCATCGTGTCAAGATCGATAGCCTTGAAAACTATGCTTAACTTATATTGGCACCTTGCATTGCACTGTATAAATTGCTACAAATAATCTCATTTAAGAGGCCCTGTTAGTCCAGACATTTCTCGTTAAGAACTATCTTGAGCGCCCTTTTGTTAAGTTTGTCTAGTTTGTCTCTATTTCGAGCCCCACAAATTCAAAGTGCCAAGCCGGCGAACAGTATCTAAATTATGCTACTCTGAAAGCCTTATATATTTTACATTTAACTGCCGGTGGTATTATTTTTCGAAACCTGTCTGTTACAGGAATTTTAATGCTGTTGACATGAAAACTAAAAGCGTGATTAGTATTTCCCAACACCCTTGCTTGATATTTGTCTGGGTTTGATATCATACCATTCACACCAAACCAGTGGTCAGCTTTGAGCAAATGGCATCTCGCTCCTAATCTCACTGTACCTTTATCCGAATCATAAATCTGCTAATCGCCAGCGTAAGCATTAATACTTACTCCGTCCATAAAGTAGAAAAGATCGTTCATGAAGACATTGAAAAAAAGGCCCAAGGACTGACCGCTGAGGAACCCCTTTTTAAACTGGCATCCAAGATGAGACATTGTCGCCAACTTTTACTCTGTGTGACCTTCTAGTTAGTTAATAATTTAAGAAACCCGTTTTTTGGTTAATTTATTCGTCCAGATTTCTGGACTGATTTTAACGGTTGTCGGTAGAGGCTATTTTTTGCACGCCAGCTTATACCGCCAAAGCGATACCCTGCTAACAGAGAATACATTTTCGCGGTATAAGCTGGCATGCGAAAAATTGCCTCTACCGACAACCGCTCAAATCCGTCTAGAAATGTGGACGAATAAATTGTTAAAACAATTCATGTGGCCAAACAAGTTGTACTTGAGGGCAGCCTGTTTTGTAAGAACGAATTCCCAAACTTTAATTTCTGATTTAGAATTAAGAAATGCAGGTAAAGTTCTTCACTTAATGTGGCAAGTGGTCGAATCGACCAGTCGACAGACCCTAAAGACCGAGACATTTACAAAAGAGGCAGGTGCTCCTTTAAAAATGTACTCGTGTCATAGTTGTGCGTTGCTTGACAACTAACGATCTAATAGTCATTCCCGTTTGCTATTTTTGTGATGACCTAAAACGTTGCTTCCTTAAATACCTGCGTGAAGCGCTTGAGTCGTAACATTCATAGCAACACAAGCCATGATAAACGGAAAGCATAAATTATGGTAGGCAAACGATTCGACTTTTTTGGCGGTAGAAAACTTGCTATTGTCACGAAAAGCGAGAAGACTGTTCCTCTGTCAATATGTCCTATTGCAGCGAAATCACATATATCATACTTTTCGCAGACAACTTAGTTTACTCGCGCTCGGGTGAAAATGGACAATGACTACTTTAAAATGCGTCATTTCCAAAATGATAATTCTTATTGATCGTCGACTTTTACTAAATGTGGTGTCTCCTGACGGAGTCGTTTGTGCTTTATTAGTCAGTAGAAACCTTCCGGACTAATGTTTTGTCACCCATCTGCACGCGGCAAGTCTCAGATGGCTTCAAATTGTACATGATCCATGTGTTTGTTACAATTTTTAACGGTTATATTTTTTGCCCAATAAGTCCTTATTCCGTCGACAAGCTCCTGTTTGGTAAACGGTTCCAGTTTGACTCCCAAGTAGAACTAGAGCTCAAGCCAGAAATCTTCCGTTGCATTTACATATGGGCTTTCAGGAGGATGCGCCACCAGTAGATTGTCCTCTCCTCCAAGAAGGCCTTAGCAACTCTCGAAGTGTGCTTTGGGTCTTTTTCCTGCATAAAACAATGATTTGGCAGTGCTTCTTGAATAAACGGAACCTGGGTTCCCTCCAAAATATTGCAATAAAGGTCGCCTTCATAATTCTCTCGAGGATGCTGATTTTCGTGGCTTCATGCCTGATGATGCCAGCCAAGACGTCCAACAGACGTGGAGTTTCACCGGATGCTTTGGCTTTAGTTTTCGTTTGGGTGGTTAGCCAACCTTCCGATAGCAAGTGCGATTAAACTGTTGGAGGGAGATTGGAAATTCGTCGCTGAAAATAACTTAGTCGAACGTGTCCTCAGGGTCCAAAATTCTGTGCGAAATCGAGAAAGTGGATTCGGTTGAGCTGGCAGTAATTAGTCTTTTGAAGTGACCACCCTTGTTCTTTGAGTGATCTTCGGACTGTGAACGAATAGAACTAAGGGCAACTCTGGTAGTTGGTTGTCTCTTCGCTTTTCCGCATTTTTGGGTTTTCTTAGCCATTTTAGTCGTCTTTCTGGGTCGACCTGCTTTAGGAAGGTTACGATGGAACCGGTACGTGTAATCTTCTTAATGATTCGTGTGACACTCGGGAAACTGACAAAAAGATCTTCCTTATTTTTTTTTAAAATTGCTGCCAGTTTTAAACCTTTATAGTGCTACTACGATCAAATTTGGGAATTTGTTTTTGATTACACATTTCGAAAATGTACGTAAAAGTGACTTACCGTGCCAAGTTTGGAGTCCAAATATGATCTGGAAGTGTGTTTGTTTGCACGGCAATTTTCGTAAATGTCTTGCCGCCATTACTCGATTCAAAAAATGACCGGGAGTAGTATTTGAAGGAGTTGGAGCGAGATGTGACGTACAAACATCAACGCGACAAAACAAGGGAAACAAACGTGGCTAATTTCGCATGCAGGACGAGATATTTTTGGAAGCTTTTGGAGGTTCTTTCTTCGCTTTTTTGACTTAAAGCGAAAGTGTGCCTGGTAGATGTTGTGTTGTTCAGGACTGTGGAAACGTAAAGAACGATGAATTGGGGATTTCTATTCATAATTCTCCTGATTCGGGCAGCCTTAGATTAAAGTGGAAAAGGTTCGTGTCCATTCATCGGAAGGATTTCAACACAGTGGGAAAATTTGCTGTGTGCTCGGAGCATTTTACAAGGGATTGTTTTACGCTTGCTTTTCCGATGAAAGGCATGAAAAGTAATTTCAAGAAGGGGACGTTTCCAACCATTTGGAAAAAATCCTCTCAAACACCATCAAAGCGGAGTCGACGATCGGTGAGTGAAATTACAATGTATTTGCGCTGTTATCACCATTATATTTATTTCCCCATTTACCTGTGACATGATTTTTCTGGCATCGTTGTTCAATATTCGTGTAATGAATGCTCTGACTATTTGGACTTCCCATATTGTTGCATGTGTTTTCATACTTTTCTGCTTTCTTCTCATAGTTATAGTAAAACGGGCATTTGCGCTGAGTGGACGTGAAGTCAATTCCCCAGTTCCCAGACATTTCCACTCAAGCGTAAAATTTAGAAAAAGTGAAGCTCCATAGAAATCCGGCTCCCTATTTTTTGAGAGATTATCTTGCTGTTACTTTGAGATTTGACAGTACTCCAAACTTCCCTCCAAGAAATCTTACAGCAAATTAGGAGTTACACGCGAGTCTTTTAAAACGACCAAAAATGGACTTAGTCTGATTTCTACATTCTATAAGTTCAGTTACTGTTTGCGGGTTTTTTTTTTTTCGCTTGTATTTTAATTCTGTTTTCACTGTCTGCAAATGATGCATACATTTTAAGGCAAAGATGTGGTTAAACCTTGCTTCCATTTCTAGTTTTGAAAACATCGACATAAAGCTCAAATTTAAACTTGTTTTGAAGGGGAGATATAAAAAATGGTCGTACCTATTTTCATTTTTAGCTACTAAATGAAATTCTGGCTGGTCAAACTACTAATGAGGATACAGAGGAAGAAGAAAATCCTGAAGAAGAGGTGATCTCTTTGAAAGGAAGTTCTGCACCTGAGAAGAGTGCTGACACTATGGGGGCTCCCAATCTCAACCCTGAGGAGTCTCCAGAAGTCGAGGGTGTTCTGAATACAAGTCAGGGTTCTTTGCTTGAGGTAAATCCTGAAAAGGAGGGCTGCATCCCTGAGACTGAGACGGGTGAGATAAGTGTTGATGCTGAGATGGCTTCAGAGGTCCTAGGTACTCCTGGTGATAAGACAGCTCTCGAGAGCCAAGTGATTTCAGGCACTGATGAGGTTACTGAGACCATGCAGATCCTGGAGGCTCAGGGAATCGAAAAAGTGCAGGATATGGATGAAGTTATGCAGATTGATGAATCATTAACGATTCCTGAACTTGAACTGGTTTCTATGGTAGGCGCATAACTCTAATTAATGATTATTTGCATCTTTGTATTATCATAACAATGGAAAACTACATGTGCAGTTATTTTACAACAATACTAAAACACAAAAATTCTAAAGTCTTGTTATTACAGCCTGTATTAATGTTGAAAGTTTGTTTTTTGTAGGATACTTCAACTGGACATGCTGGGAATTGCACAACATGCAAAACCCTGAGGAGTGAGGTAACTCAGTTGAGGTGCAAAGTCGCAAGACTGAAGAGTAAGTTAATCTCCAATCAAGATCAGTGGGTTGAAACCTTTAAGAGCATACAAGAGCCGAAGCAGTTGCTAATGGTGAATGCTGGTGAGTCAACAATAATTGATGTTGATGAGTCATATAGGCATAACTGCCTATCTTTATATTTTTATTACATTTTATCAATATTTGATTATTTAATAATAATTAAAATTTGAATGGTGATAGAATTTTTTTAATTCCATTTGTTTAAGCTATTCAAACTGATCCATGGCCAGTAACAAATGAGACAGAGTTAGGGCTAGAGGATGAATCAGAAGATGAGCAGGAAATGCAGGACGATGCGTATGAGGAGTTTGAGTGTGATGAAGACCCTACATGGAGTCCTGAAGAAATTGAAGATGCATATAAAAAACTAAAGGAAGATGATGACTCGGTGAAGACTCATCAGAACCCAAGGTACAAAGATGCAAAATTTATTGCATTTTAACATCTTAGCTCTAAGTATCCTCTGGGAAGTGATAAAGCCTAAAACTAACTTCCATTATGAGAGGATCTATTTAGAAACAAGAGTACATGAAATTTGTTTTTTAATTTACTCAGATAAGAATTGCAAAAAAAAAAAGAAGAAGAGGCATAGCCAGCCCATAGACTGGAAGTCCCAGGCCTAAAAATGTTTGGTTTGTCCACTCAACCACTTGTAATAAATTATGCATCGTTGGGGTGGGCTAGATAGCTTAAGGGCTCAAAGTTGTCATGTGTGCAATCAACAGAATTATTATAAAAAGCATTTTTCAGGATGTATGTGAGAATAAAATCCCAACCCACAATTAGCGAGGTTTACAACAAGTTGAAAAACTGGCAACACCCTGAGAAAAACAATAAAAATGATAATCATTTTTTTTGTTGTTATTTTATTATTTCAGATGCTATGATTAAATGAGTATTTCCTTTCAATCATTTTTTACAAGTTGGATCTACAAGGAAAAAACATTCGAGAGGAACGGAAGGGAATTGTTTTTCTTTCCTAACTTCTTCTTTTGTTTCAGTTCTGCCACTTGCGCTTCTTTTCAAAACCCAAACTTTCTGTATCACAGACAGGTACCTTGTTAACCGTAGAAAGTTTCTGCAGAAACTGTACCCAGACGAAAGTCTGGAAGAGTCAACCAGACCTGCTAGGAAAGTTTCCAGCAGGTAACCTGCTATTAAGTTTTGCACTGCTCTGTGAGCCGAGTGAAAAGAAAGAAACGATACATTAAAACTGTAATTAAATTCAGGCTGAATTCGATTCAATTTTTATTACTTGTGTACATGAAAATTGGAGCAACATCAGAATTCCCAGCCACCAAACTTGAGTTTAACTGAACGCTAGAAGAACAGGGCTTCACACAGTGGGCAAGTTTGTCATTCAACAAAAAGCGAGTAAGTGGCTGAGAATTCTGAAGTCTGGCCCATAAAATTAAGTGCTTACGGACAAGTATTCAAGCAACTACTGTAGGTCCTTCTTGGCCCCAATGGCATACATGACACTCTTCAAGAACAAGCAGTGCATTTATTATTCATTTTCTTCATCTTCGAATCCACGATAATGGCCATTTTGACTCGGAAATTGTTTCCTGATTTTATTGTAGGCACGACAGGGCAAGGGGCATGGCCTGGAACTACCAGTATAACTCCACAGCAGTCTTGTAAATTGGCGATAGGCCACAGACCTCAGGAATCTAGTTAGAGAAATGAGATCACTGTTAATTCAAGGAGGGATTGGATGGAGATAAATAAATACTCCTTTAAAAAATAAGCAGTTGGGGCAATAAAGCCATTTAGCAAATAAAAAATGTGATTCTATGAGATCAGTCCACGGCGATAAGCTTAGATGTATCAATTATTCAATGCTATGTAAGGTTCGATCGTTCCGATACAAAGTCAACAATACCCCAACTTACTCATTATCACTTTTGTTGCTTTGCCCACGAACAGCTGTGTACGACTTTCCAGCTCGCGTTTTCAGGCCCAGTGCAGCCACTTCTAATACGTAGCGGTTTAAGCAGACGCTTTCAAACCCTGGATGGAGGGTTATGCATACGGTCCGGTCTCCAATGGCTTCTTCCATGACCTCTTCGCAGCGATCGATCTCTTTGCAGCAAATGCACTCCTGCGCTTTTGTAACAAGGCTGACAGAGCAGTTCGAGCACGAATACCTGCAAAATAATGTGAAAAATTCGTCAAACTCAAGAAAATACGTCTATATAAAATTATTAATTGTCTGACCTCCAATAAAACTATCGCATAAAATCAAGACTACAGCTAATCACATAGCAACGAAATTGTAAACTTAAACAAAACACACAGTAGCGTTCGTCACGCGCACGATTTAACGACGGGTATGTTGAAATTGGAAAATAAAATTATAAATCTACATTCCATGATAATACCATACCATTCATTCGCTGGCACCTCTCCCGAATATCTTCGTTGAAACTGTTGTTCCTCTTCTTCGTCGCGATGAACTCTTTCGTTGTAGTTTGCGGCTTCTTCCTCGGTAGCAAGGGGTTCGCAACTGTCATCGTACGGCGCAAATTCAGACAATTCCCCCATCACTTCGTCAACTGTAAAACTTTCTAGATCACTTTCAAATGTGCAGGAAGAGGAATCCGACGGAGATGACATCTTAAACGTCTTGTTAAAAGGCTCTAAACTCACAAACTTTTCTCAAATGCGAATCTTTTGGTTGATGTTTCTACGTCACAGTGCATAAATCACGTGGTCAAACGCACGACCGCTTTGCGGAGATCTCGCGGGCTATTGCTTTGCGAACTTTGTAATGGCGGACGGTATTTACGTACTTTTCAGTGGGAAATTTCCAGCCCCCGTACGCAAGTATCGTTCCAATTTTTCGCTATTTGTATAATTTTGAACATATACAAAAGATTTATGTTAAAAAAAACTCGGAAACAAAAACAAAAATTTTCGTCGTAGTAGCACTTTATGATGGGGAGCTAGAATTCTCCTTCGTGTATAATTTGATGCCTTCGGTATGTTGGATTACCGTATTACAGAGACCTTGCTGATAGCCTGTCAATCCTTTATACATACAAAACACCGTTTCTATGACAGTAATTGCGCAATAATCAAGTTCCTATATAAGATATCAAGAGCACCCAACGTCAATTTTCGGAAAATATCTGTTCGGAAGACGATTTGAGATCTAGAATTTTTGGAACATTTTTTGTAAAATTTCTTGCTTGCTTACCTCTCCTAGGATTTTCGAACATCTAAAAAATGGTATAATTGCCCATTTTTAACGGATTTTTACCCTAAAAAGGTCACCTAGAATTTTCGGGAGCCTTTTTTCTGGCTGAAACTTTCGAAAAGGTAAGTTTTGATCCCTATAATTTTCGGATCACCGGACCTTCAGCTAGGAAATCCGAACAGATGAAAAATTTTTAGGGGATCAAAATATGCCTTTATATACCGTTTAAAGACTAAAATACGTTTAACAATGCTATTCTTAAGTGATTTTGAACTATATTCTCGTTGGGTGCCCCTGAGGTATTAGCGGAAATATAATGTAAATCGGTTAAAATTTGTTTTAATTAATATTTTTAATTTTTGCAGGTGGCTAAACAACAAACTTGACAAGCTTCCACCTGGGATATTTTCCACCCTATCTAAACTAAAGTTATTGTAAGTTTTTTTTTATTTATAAACATTGTCTGTGTTTGTTATCAAGAACACAACACTAGTGTGGGCACGCAACCACGTATATGTTTTGGTTCAATTTTATCCTTGGTTTAAGTTTCGTTATCGTACATTACCATACCCCAAAACAAAGAAAGCACACATACCTTGGGTGCGGTTCGCTTCAAGCCAAGCGCTCGTTTTATTCTTGAAAAGACTAAAAGATACCTGACATATGATAGAAAAGTAATATACAATCCAAGTAACATAAAGCTCCAAAGAACTAAATTACAAGCTAACTGAAATGGGGTCGTGGAACAACAGCAGGGGGAAAACCTCCCCGTACGTCCACTTGCACCTGGGAGGAAAACCCCAGGCCAGCTGTACCCCATAAACAACGGTCCCCCGGGCAAGACTAACTAAATAGAAACTAGAATAAATTAAAAGCGGCACGAACGAGAAAACGAAATACCTAAAGCCTTAGAAACCGACAAACGAGAAGATAAAGAATCCTGGACATACCCGTCCTTAGCCGATTCACTAGCCCAGCGGCCATGACGCTTAAAGAGTCGGTCTGATACGCCAGCATTTGCGGCAGCAGTAGCCCCGCCACTCCTAAGGCTATGCGTACCAATGGCAGAAATATCAGGTACAATATCTTTAAAGGCCTCTAGCACTAACTCTTTTAACCGTAAATAGCTTAAACCTTTAGATCTAGGCTTATAACCACATTTAGTTTTGGAAAGCTGGCAAAACAGAGGGCTATCGCAGCAAAGCCCAGCTCTATCTAAATAACGGTTCATCATGGCAACCGGACAAGTTGCTTTCCTAGAAGAAGCTACAACAATCCAAGCTCCATCCCTATACTGATCAGTTTTACTAGATTGAATAAATAACTTTAACATGTCATTTTCGACCTTAACATCGGATCGAACAAGCTTAACAAGCTCATCAAATCTGAGAAAGGCATCTTAAGCTAGCAAGCAAATAACAAGCGAACGAATATTATACAAAGAGGGCCATCGAGTCCGCCTTTGAGGCAACTAACTTCTCTAACTGAGAGACTGTGATAGGCTCCTTCTTGGTTGTTTGATGGGCCAGCAAACGCTACGCACCGGCAAGAGTACTCTTCACCAACGGATGATCAGAAGGAGACGGCTCGCCGCCCAGTTGGTGAAACCAGGTAATGCTGTGAACTGCTGACTCCAAGGGAGATGCTGTCTTCGTCTCAGTCATTAAATAACGCAAATAAATAGCAAAGTGAAACGGAGAAATGGGAAAAACTGTCAAGCCATGCTCTCGTGCCCAAGACCTCCATATGTTGTAAGAAGAAAAATACTTGGAGGAAGTACTGGGTGCTCTGTTAGCAAACGCAACATCCGAAAGAGAACTTGCAAGGGATTGTGAAACACTGGATCTCTGGGGAACCGCAGCCCGAAGATCTGACCACATAGTAGAGCTGAAAACGTCTGCAAAATGAAAGCTAAAACGACGCAAACACACAATAAAAAGTCAAAAACAAACAAAAATGACCCGAACGCTGGAACAGCAAGACCGGGATGAAAGACAAAACCAGCACGCCCAAATATATAACCCTACTAATTACCCACATACCAGCGCACATGCCTAAACAAACATAAGATACCGGTGAGAGCATAATTTCCTGCTAATTACTAAGTCAAACGCAGGAAAATACTAATGACAATACCATTGTGCATTTGCATTCGCATTCAAAGCGGAGCTCTACGTGCGCGCGAACGCAACAAAAACCGATAAAAGACACAGCGTGGGGTAAGAGTAAAAGATCACAAAACTTCCTGAGGGAATTTCTGAGCGTATTTATTTCAATGATATATCGTCGCTTTCATAGCAACCATTGATAGAGGAAATGAATCATACGCTCACGCTTTAAGCCATCGAAGGAGTCGTTAGAGATATAAGATTCTTCTTCCAAAACCGGCGGCTCAAACTGGTATGGCTCACCGCTACCTAACACATTATTTCAATCGCTTTGGTCATTCAAAAGTCTTCGTAATAACCGTTCTTATTTTGATCTATAAAGTGTCTATAAAGGCTTTGAAGGAAAACTCTTTCCCAAATCTCATTTAGGATGCTTCCTTATAGTGTTTACCGTGCAAAGGTAAAACGACAATAGGAAAAATGTCAATTTTTTTCTGTTCATTTGATTTTTAAACCAATTTCTAGTTTTAAACTAAAATAATCAATGACAATAAAACAGTGCAGACCATGGACTTGTGCAAATTACTTAAATGTATCTTGTTGGTCGTTTTGTTAATCTAAAATTAAAACCTAGCTTACCAGAGGGCGGGAAAAAATACAAGTAGGCGCATGCAAAATAGTGTTTATAGTATAGCTCCAACGAGAAACAAACCAAAAAAATTAAATAAATAAATAAACAAGCATGAGGTCGTCTTTCACTGATAATACTTACTTAACTTTAACCTTATCCTTGCAGGTGGCTGTACAAAAACCAAATTGAACAGCTTTCATTCGGGATATTTTACAATCTATCTAAGCTACAGATGTTGTAAATTTGTATTTTTTTAATTGTCTGTTGCTTATTATCGAGATTACAAACACCATAATACGCAACCAACCATGTATATAAGAGTCCGTACAGGGAACCTACACGGCATAGCATACAAGGTAAATAAAGCGAGAGAGTTAACACAAAAGAGCCATGGAGAGATTTACCTAATATGCATTTAAAAAATGCTTCAGACTATTCCCAAGTCTCCCACTAAAGACTAGAAAAGGAGGCATTCACTAGTCACGCGGCACAGATTAAGATTTAATAAATAGCCTAATTTTCTAGGTGGTATGGCTATGTCAACCTGTTTTCATTCGAGGCAGTGGATCAGTTAATTAACTTTGATTAAAGCTCTCGCGCGCGCCTGCGGAGCACCATGGGTAAGTAAATCTACCCATCCCAGAAAATTTTGTCATCACTTGACCGTTTACCGACCGAAAGAACGATAGCCTCCAACGCGCGCAGGCGTTTTTAGCTTAGGGGAGCTCGTTTTTCATCCCTGCGTGGGAGGCTAAACGAACGACCGTCCGTCTGCACCACAGGGCAACCAATGTTTACTTTCACACTTTCTACAATCGGCGACAAAATGAGTTGAGACACTTCGCCCAAAACTGGTCTTTTTTACGTTTTATTAACTTCAAAAGGAGGAAATATTGCTTTCCTCCCCCATCCCCTCCGTGCAATGTTGTGCCCTTGTTCTAGCTACCTATAGAAAACAACAAACATACCAACTTTGAATGGAGGGGACAGGGGAGGGGTGCGGATTCGTTTGTTCTCCGAAGTTACCCTAGTTAAGTACAATGTCTCAATAATTTTGTCGCCGATTGTCTGAATCTCAAAAGTGGCCGTACGTCCTTTAGAAAGTTAATTGAATTTATTTCTTTATGCTGTGATGTAAGACCCCCGGTGGCTTTTTATTTGTTGTGTTCGACTTCATCATACCTATTTTAGAACAATTAGAATAAGGTGATTTCGTTATTTTCAGTGCGTAAAACCCGGCATAAAGACAAATGAACCTCGCTTAAATGAAACTCGAAATGTTAACCTTTACTCAAGTAATGTTCTCGATCGAAGGCTTTTTTTTTCTCTATTAATGAGGTAAAAAGTAATAAATAGAGCGCGAGGTTGCTCTCTCCTTGAATTCGTCAATGAAAAATGTCTCCTTGTTATTTCCTCCCTATACTACGTGTTGTCACTGTTTTGTTTTTTAAGTGCACTGATACAATTCTTCGACATTTTAGACTGAGCTGGAGCACGTGGTCATATTTTCTTAACACATTAAACCCAGGATGACACCCAAATCATCCGACATTGAATTGCGAACCATATAAATCAGAAAGCCAATGGACCCGCTCCTCCCCCAAACCCTAACTACGTGCCCAAAACACGTTTGGCGGAAGTCTTCAAGACAAATCCTGTCATAAGCCTTTTTGATTGTCAGGCCTCCCATCCTTTAGGCTTGTCACGCCAATCCTCTTCACCGAGGGCACATTATAACCATACAACACACTAGATGACCCTTCATCACCGTAAACACTTCCAAAGTGGTTTAAAACATGCAAAATATTTTAAAAGAAACCTGAAGGAAAGGTAAGTGATAGACTTGATTATCAAAACTAAATACAGCAGAGAAAATTCCACAACATTCCCAAATCGCCGTAACAAAGTACGGGAGCGGGCAATGCCCTCAGCGGTTAGCATCAGTCGTTTTTTGTTTTAGTCTATGGGGTCTTTGTTTTAGTCAAAGGGGTCTTTATTTTAGTCCATGGGGTATTCGTTTTAGTCCAAGGGGTCTTCGTTTTAGTCCATGGGGTCTTCGTTTTAGTCAAAGGGGTCTTTGTTTTAGTCCATGGGGTCTTCGTTTTAGTTCATGGGGTCTTAAGTCTTAGGTCTTCATTTTTGGGTCTTCGTTTGAGTAACACCCGACTTTATTCAGGAGGGCCTGTTCAGCACTTTCTGGATCAGCAAAATGTATGACTTCAATTTGTCATGAGGCAAGGAGTTCCTGACAATTGTTTCAATGTTTGCGAGGAACTCACATTCAGTAGAACCTTCAGGAAAAATATTGAAGAAAGAAACAAACCGGATTTAAATTCACAACTTAATGACATCTTCATTACAAACCAGTGTTACAGTTTTCATATTAAGGATCAAGGTATTGTACAAATGAAACTCATGAAGCTGCTACAGCACAGAAGTAAAAGCCCTGAAGCGGATAAAGGGAATGAAAGCAACCATGATAAAAATGAAACAATATAGAAGGTACCTGAAAATGAAGACACCTGAATGTTGTGCTTTTCAACAGCAGTTTCTTGGTCCTCCTTCATCTTCACCGTTATTCTGCTGCTAAAATTCTCAGGGCCATAATTTGCCAATTCGGCATCACATTCATCAAGTGAACCCACTTTGTACAAAAAAAAACCAACAATGACAACAGCTGTTCAGTATTTCTAAGTTCACAGTGAAGGGCGCAGAGATTAATAGACGATAAATCCTCTTCAAAAAGGAACTCTAAGTCATCACGGATGCCTTTGAAACTAGAAAAAAGAAGACTCATTATTTTGTTAGTTGTAGGGGATATCTCCCCTGAAGACTGGTACTTAACAGTTTTATAGATTTCAAACTCAAGTATTTTACTCGACAGGTTTTCAGTCTTTTATGACAGTGCCCCTACAATATTGACACACCTACAGTAAAGGAAGACTGTGATATATTATTATGGGAAAATAATATGTGCTCTAGGAAAACAAGACAAGGATAATTGCCAACATTTTATAGACAGGGGCATTAAACACCATGTTTGTCCAAAAAAAGCTTTTTGTTTTCTTTTCCATGCAGTGGAACTTCCCCTTTTACAAAAGGCAAGGCTTAATTTACAAAATATTATTGCTAAAATAAGGTCTATATAAAAAGTTAGTCTTTTATAGAAAACATACTTTATTAAGCTATAAATGCTGGGATGAAGAGATTAACTCACTATACCAGGGAATTTAATTTTTTGAATAGAGGTTAACTGTATTGAGATAACCTTGTTTTGAATGCCTTTTATAATTAGAAGTTACTGTGGATTCAAAACGACAACTACAAATGCTGAAATTCATGAATAATCACGGGCTAAATGCCTCAACAAGTAAATTACCCTCCAATATAATTGGCCTTGGACATGCTATTTAAAGTGTTCCAAACAAACTGTAGGCAGACCAAGATTGCAATTACATTTCTAATAAAGCAACAATAAAAATAGCCATTATTCACCAGCCCTGTAGCTAGTTTTTACTAACAAATTTTACCCAGCAAAACTGAAAATCTAATAGTACTGGCGTGTATTGGTAAGTTGGTCATTGGTAAGGTCAAATCCTGCATAGTAGAATTTTTTGACTCAGAGATTTGGAATATATACAAATACCTTCAATGCTTTGTAGATAAAGCAACACTCTACTTCAGTTCCTCGTTTCCCAAGCTGAAAGAAAAGAGGTCAATGTACATGCAGGTATTTGGATTTAAAATTATGGTACTAAAAAATACCTTATTAATTATTATGTGAAACTTACCTTTAAATCTCACAGCATAATGCACTCCATCCACTGTGATTCCATTCTTCTTTAGTGCATCCTTTTGTTTGTTAACATTAACAATCAGCTTTTTTAGGTTTTTTTCCTAATAATAATCAAAATTAAAGTTACCAGTAAACTGAAGTTATTAATAAAATGAAAAAAAAAAAGGAAAATGAAATACCATACTGCTAGTCTAGTGTACGGCAGATAGTTCTTAAGACTTGAAAACATATAAAGGTCGGGTTTGAGTGGCCCACTAATAAATTAAGACCTTTGCGGTAAATGAATTTTCAAAAATGATCATTTACTGGGGCCTTTAGGCCTCATATGATAAATTTGTTGTAAATCCACAAATTATTTCAGCTTGCATGTATAACTGGTCGACAACCAAAAATTACACAGTCAAAAAGGTACAATAAAAATTTTCACTAACAAAACTAGTTATTTTGGAAAAAAATAACTACTTGACTAATGAATCAAATTTAAATACAACATACCTGTCTTCCTTACAATTAGCAATATCTAAAGGGCACACTGATTTACAGCTCTGATTACACACGAATGGTGTGTCTTTGGGGACTACATCCATTAGGACCTGACTGTGCCCTACTGATGATAGGAAACAAAAAAAAGGCATTTCAAAAATTATTTAAGCACCACTTCATGACCTAGAGTTCAAAGTGTTTGGTTATGTTTACCCTGCACTTTGATGTTACCCCCCCTCAAACTTAATACAGACACCTGTATTTAACGGATTTGTCGCAACAAAAAGCACATGTATTTTCTCTAAAATTTACTCCCTAATACAGACGACAATAATATGGACAACAAGTTTTAAACTCCCATATATTATATACCCTGCTTTACATTATTTTATCTCAGCACTGTCTATGACTGACTATCTTTCAAGTGAAAATTATGGATACGGAACAGTAAATGTTTAAGAATACTGACGAAAAAGACTATTTCAGTCCAAGACTACACCCATAATAAAAGATCACAGGGTTTTGTTAGGATTAACTTGTTTCAGTCACAGTTAAGAAATAATTTGGACACTATTGTATGTCCCTTTGTGTCATAATTTTTAACCCACTTTCACTGTTGATTTTGTTTCTATGTTTTTCTTTCTTAAGTGCAACACAGTTGTTGCAAAATACAATAAAGAAATCTGGAAATAAGTTACACTGTATTTAGTAAAGATTGCGTTCTCACCTGCAAATGGCCTACCATCAAGCTTGAGGCTTAGGTCAATTATTTCTTTCTGCACACCATGTAATCTCAACTCCCTGATAATCCATGTTATGGCACTTTCAAGAGAAACTTCATAACCAGGAAAATCTTGCATTTGGGTGATGTCAAAGAGGCTTCAAACTTTATCAAACACCACAGACCGAAGTGCCTTTACGTTGCGTTTGGAAAGCAAGATCGGAGTGTCTGATGAGTTCTAAAAGAAAAGAAAAAAAGATCAAAGGTACTGACACAGTACCCCTGCCTCCCCCCACAGAAATAGCCAATTTTTCTTACACCCCTCAGAAATAATTATTCCAAAGATCAAAGGTGCTGTCACAGTCAATCCCCTTCGACACGACTTTCACACATTGAGCACCTGACCGCAAGGCTCGTTCGTTACCATGGAAAAGGGGTCTCCTGGTGTGAGCAATAAAATCGGGCCTCTAGCTTATAATGAATAAGTCAACTCTTACAAGAGGTACAAGGGTGTCAAGCAAAAACTGCGATTTCTGCGATTCCTCCAAAAATTGTGAAAAATTGGAGAAATCGCAGTTTTTGCTAAGATTAATTAAGTCAAGTGGTACAGGAGGTAGAAGGGTGTCCAGCAAAAACTGCGACTTCTGCAATTTCTGCGATTTCTCCAAAACTTGCAAAAAATTGGAGAAATTGCAGTTTTTGCTAAAATTAATTAAGTCAAGTGTTACAGGAGGTAAAAGGGTGCCCAGCAAAAACTGGGATTTCTACAATTTTCGGGATTTCTCAAAAAAATTGTGAAACATAAGGAATAATTGCAATGATCCATGGTAGGCATTCTGTCTTTTTTGTTATCATCCAAGCACAAAGGTTGACAGGTTTTTGTCAGTGAGGTATTAGGGAAATACTTGTTACTGTATGATTCAACCTTGCATCCTCTTTTCATTGTTGACTAATCCTGACTAATCCCATACGAATTCCAGTATCCATAAAAAAATTTGCTCTCAAAATCTGCTCTTTAGCATTGTAGACCATTATTTCCTTCTTCTCGGAGTTCACAATAAGCTTTGCCTCTCTTTTTCCTTTACCAAGTTGCTTTCTAAACCCGCCACAATCTTGGAACTGGTCGAAGAGATAGGATAATCTTCTCAGGTTTGAAAATGTTATAGTCACTGAACCTGGTGTATCTATCCCAAATCTTGTCAGACCAAGAATCTCCTTGTTCAAGAGATCAAGGACCTCATGAGGCATGGGAGGCATAGTGCATCCACGGATGCACTATGCTCATTTTTGGACTAAGACGGTGAATAATTGCGGTCTTTGCACGATCCATGCTTCGTTAAAGCATAGGACATAATCTCGCCGATCCTGTAGTAATTGGTGCGCTCGCGAAGCGCGCCAAAATTCCCTTTCACAACTGACTCAGCCAGCCTATTCAGTTCGTGAAATGTCTTGCCTAAATCCTTTAGGGTATGCTCGTTCCAAATTCCCCGCTGAAATTTTGATTTCTCTCGCTTCAGTGCATCTTTTATGGAAATTTAGTTCACCTTCGGTAGCTGCACGGTAAATGCTAGTTTCCATACCTCAAACCGCCCTTGGATACCTTGTGATGCCTACACAAAGTAATTGCATATATGTATACATATATGAGTGAGCCCTGACTATAGTGATTAGGGTTAAGCACTAGCAATGCTGTCTTTTTCAGGGTACAAAAATAGCCTCATTTAGTCTTGTACCCCTAAGAAGGCAGCATTGCCGAAACGTCAGTTAAAACTCTTTTGAACTGCGTCGATTTTACAATTTTCAAATTAACATTAAGTAGTTACCGTTGGGCAGGGAATTTAACATTTTTTTTTTTTCACAAAGCGAAAGTTGGCCACATTCCAAGCTTTGCAAATTTTAAAATGGACTAGGTACGTGAAAGTGTGCTGCTACAGCGGTGAGCAGTCCGTTAGTCGCCAAAAATCTTAATAAAATTGCAATGGTTGCTTCGTATTCAACAGCTTTGTTGGGATTTGTGGATTAAAGAACGTAGTATATTACATTTATGGTGTTGTTGTTTGGGTCCATGAGCATTAAAGAACATCGATTACATGTGGATTCGTCCGACATTGATTTTTCCCTTGTTCAACTTAAGAAAAAATAGCAAAAAGTGTTAACTCTAAATCCAAAAACCTGTTCGAACCCTCAGGCTGTAATTATTGACCAGTCCTCATTTTTATTACACTGTTAGTGTTAAGAGTGGTTGTCAGAGAAAACCGGGCAAAATGTTAAAAATGTCAACGGAAGGGGGTCAACAGAATAAGTTCATACTAACATCATAGATAGGTCTGGTGGAGTAATGGACAAATATATCAAACATAGGTTCTTCACTGCTCTTGTATTAGAGATACGAGCTTCACTTTATTCGACCCCCTCGGACGCCATTTTTATAAGCAAATTTTCACCATTTTCTGAAACTCACAGAACCCTCAAAATTTAACGAGCGAATTTTTTTTTTTGTATGCGATACAGCACATCACAGAACTACTTTCTAAAGCCATAAGATTTGTTAAGTAGCCACGGACAAGACTACAATATCTTATTTTATCCGACCTAAACTCAGTGTCTGCAAACGAGCAAAAAATCGGGCATTTTTGAATTGATCTACAGCGCACAACTAAAACGACACAACAACTCTGACAGCCAAATTGCAGTCTACCATCATCCATGTAACCAAGACACTAATAATCATTTTGGGCCATTGAAATAGGAAGAAATTAGAAAACTCACATTTGTTATAGTTTCCAAGCTTTTTCTTGCAAACAGGCCGATCCCTTCGTGTTTGTTTTAAGTCCTCTTCGTGAATTTTCTTTCATATTTCACTGTAAAGTATGTTCAGCAGCTGGAGAAAATATCAAAAGCTCGAAATACTGCCTAGGTTACATTTTGAAAGGGCAAAAAGTGCTGAACGATAGGATGAAACTAGAAAAAAACAAAGCGACGCCATCTTGAAAATTCAGCACTCAGGAGGGACTGGCACTAGTAGCTGCGTTCGATATCTAACATACGGACAAAACTTGCAAATTTTTCACAACTCCGTTGTCTCGTAATTCCCAAAAGAGACTTGAGCACATAGAAAACCAAGCCTAATACAGAAATGTAACCAGAAAGCCTCGGATTCATGTAAGAATTTTTCTTTATCGAGCGTTGGCCATTACGAACTATTACCAGGAGCCTATGGACTCTTGCAGGAGCCCATAACCCAGAGCGTGCAACGGTGTTTTTACAAGTGAGTTTATTTTTAGATAAGCTTTTCCCGCGAAAAATGACTGTTGTCGCTTGGACCTTTTCACAGTCAGCTGTTTCGAAGATGATTTCGATTTCCCTTTGCGTGAATTATGCGTTGTCGCCGATGAAGTAGACGTCCCGGGCTCTTCTACGTTTTGCAGATCTTTCTCTGAACTGCTAGTTTCCGTGTAAATACTGAAATTGTCGCTTGAAGTACTGTCAGAAGAATCATCTGAAGATTCCTCACGTGCGTCCGCCATACTTTTTTTTTCAATGTGAAGGAGTTGTCCTGGTTACGTATTAAAAGTTTATTATTGATGACGCACTTGCTCGTGATTGGCTTTTCGAAAAAAAGCAATTCGCGGGAAAGGCTTATCTAAAAATAAACCTACTTGTGAAAACGCCGTTGCATAGGCGCAGTATGGAAGTTAGACGCCCCGGGTTATGGGCTCCTGGCTCTTGTAATTACCAGTAAGATAAAAAACAAAAAACAAATAAACCAGCTTATCAGTGACCTACTCCAGTCTTATTTCTTCTTCAATTACTTCTTTTAGTTGAATGTAGCTTGTTTTTGTTTCAAAGGAAAAAATAAGAAGAACGCCTGATCGCAGGTTAATTGGTGATTAACTGGCATTGCTTCATTCCCTCCTCATTTCGAGGTGTCCCGTGAATGTAGAAAATATTAAAGATCTATTTCGTCTCTTTATGAATCACTTAACCCCGCTCTCATACGAGCTAGCTAGACTTGCTATATATCAACCGAGTTTCTAAGCGTGCGGGCTAACTACGGGCAGTGGATACTGCTGGCTGTAAAATTTGCAATAATTTTTATTACCTAAAATAAGCAGTTGAATCAGCCTGCGGAGCAGGCATTTTAGGCCGCAAAGCGGCCAAGACAGCGGACGAAGTAATTTTTGAAAGTAAGCTTTCTAACTGATGATCTCATTGCTATCACTTCGCATTTCCATAAGGTAATAGATTGTTGACAAGAGCTGTCAAAATAAGCCATTCATAGGGTTTACCAGAATCTGGTTTACCGTAAGGATCCGGAAGGAGCTTTTGTTAAAAAGTACCATTATAGGAGTTCCTACGGCTCTCACTTCGTACCCGTTCCCCTCATTGTTTTTCCTGCTCACTTCTTTTTCAGTATGCTCTTTGCACTGTCCACACAAGGTAAACGCCACGGGTCCGGACGAATTTTTTACCTGTCCAACCCGTTTAGGGGGAACGTGCAAATTCTCCATAGATTGCAATACTGTTTGCAGCTCAAAAACTTCACGGTTCCGGGGGTCGCATGTAAAGAAAAGGCGGATCCATGCAAGTTTTCGGCAGTTCAAAAATTTGTAAAAGGGGCCTGAGTGTTAACTCGAGTTGGTACCTTTTCCGTCATATTGATCATTGATAGAAGTCGTACACCTGGACGTTTAAAGCCACTGGGTTCCTTTTTGTTTACTGGTGTGGCTGTGAAAGAATTGACATCTCCTACATCTCTTCGTCACTGGATTTGTCAAAAACACTCTCACTACGGTGTTTAACACAAGCAGAACTATCACGTTCACAGTCCTCCCATTTAGAGTAATTGTCAGGGTCTTGCCTTAAATTCAGAGAAGGCAATGATGACAGAAACGAAATTTATTCATCTGCTACGGAGGTAATTTCCAACGCCATTTCGTTTGTTAATCCTTTCCACGGCGCTGTTGCAAAAAATGTGCGCGCGAGTCACACGAGATGGCACAAAATGTGCTAAAAATAGTACATTTAATGGCTATGATATATATTTCGATGAGGTTCGTCCCATCCCTGGAAAAGGTATCCAGTTACGGTCTAGTACCCCGATTTATATATATATGGCTCCTGGTAGAGTATAAAAAA